ACTGTTGTAATAACCTCACACTAGCCTTTCTGTTCACAGTCCTGTTTCCTAGTGTGCCATTTATCTTAATACAGGAACAAAGATCTTTCTAAAGTGCAAATATAATTAAATCTTTCCCAACTTAAAACTTTATTTATTTTTATTGTTGCCATTATTAAAGATGTCCTCTATTTTCTTCCCCTTTGCTCCCCTCCACCCAGACCCCAACCTCCCCTTCCTCAGGCGGTAACCAGCATTGTTGCCTGTGGCCATGGGGTATGCATACATGTTCTTTGGCTCTTCTCTTCACCTTCTTTCATCCTGCCTGCTACCCTCCTCCCTCAATCTGTCAGTCTATACCATGCATCCATGACTCTGGTTCAGTTTTGTGTGTCCGTTTATTTTGTTGATTAGATTGCACATATAAGTAAGATCATATGTCATTTGTCTTTTACTGATCACAGCTTAAAACTTTTTAGTGGTTATTGAATACCTCCAGAATAAAAATCTAGGCTCCTTCATATGGATACAAAGTCATTAATAATGAGGTCTCTATTTTTCTCAATAGGCTCCTATTTTTTTCTGTTTTCTTCTCCCTTTTTATTTCTCCCTGTAAGCCACAGGAAACTAAACTTCACTGCCTTTGTAGGGGTTATTTGTTATTCTTCATCTTAAAATTGAATGCAACATTTCTGATGTGATATGATCAACACTAAGTAGACAAAAATTGTCTTGTAACTTCTCCTTTACTGAGATTATTGTTAATATCTCATTGATAGTGTCTCAATGTTAATTAATATTTATTTGATATACCTTTTATTCAGTGTATCTTTACATTCATAGCAATATCTAATCACAAAACTAAATTATTTGTAGCCCAGTTTTAATTTTACTGCTATCTCAAATCATATTAAGTAATAAGGATACATTTATTTGCTATAATCAGAACACCTATCAGATTTGATCCCTCCTTCCCACACCAGTGATGATGTATTTTATTTCAGCTTGGGAGTGTTCGTGTTGATATTGACCAGTCACCCAGATGACTAGATGACAAACATTTCTTTCTTTACAGTATCATTTCATAGTTTGCATAATTAAGAAACAGTCCTCTGAAACTGGCGGGCTGGTTTGGAGGTAAAGCCCTTGTTTCTTTTCTTGTCAGTTTTTCACCTCTTCAGCCCCAGGGGAATCAGGATGTCCCATGTTAAGCTCTAAACACTTCAAACTTTTATTCTTCTGTTGGGTTTGAAAGGGGGACATTATTAGCTCTGTCTTGATGTAGCAGGGGCTCTGAAAGTCTATTTGGATAACACTGAAGATTGGAGGAAATGTGACTCTGTCTGTGTGTTTTAAGCCCCTAAGGTAAGATCAGAAAGCGTCTGGGGCAGCGAGAGCCAAATAGTTGAAGTCATACATTAATTATGGTCATGAATCATTTTTATTTTTAAAGTCTTTACCATTTGACAAGGTTGTTTGCATAGTACCAGTGAGTTTTAGGCAGCATTTTCCCTCTTTTAAAGTAACAGGCTATTTTGTTGATTTCTGTTCTAGGTTGATAGTGCCTGTCGTTATTAGAATTATGATAATGTTTTTAGTAAAAATAGTTTGTTTTCCTACCTGAGTGAGTGGTCTTTAATTTGTGTGATCTTTGTTTTGAATATATTATTTTGAAATTATAAATATAGAGAACTACCATGTTAATCTTTTAGTCTCCCACTGATCACTAGAAAATAATTAAATCTGTGCTTTTATATTCAGGCATTAGTTGACATTCATTCAGCAAATATATGTTGAGTGCCTTCTTTGTGCCATATTCTGTGCCAAGCACTGGGAATGTACATGAAAAGATTTTTCCCCCTCAGAAAGCTCTAATAAGGAAATAGACAAGGAAATAAAAAATTGCTGTTAAATGTGGCTCTGTAACCTTTGTTGGTGGCATCGTACACATGATGCCGCAGAACTCCAGGAGGAGCGCCTCTGCCTGTCTGGAGCAGCCTGTGTGAGCGCCTCTGAAGAAGAGGTTATGCTCGAACTGCCTCCTCCTGGATTTAGGGGTATGCTGATCTGTTAAAAGACAGGGAAAACATGTAGAGAGAGAGAACAGCTCACTCGAAGGTACAGAAACAAAAAATGGCATGATGCGTTTGGAGAACTGTCAGTGCTTAAGTTTTGCTGGAGTGTAAGAAATATCAGGAAAAGGGGCTGGAGTATGCTGGGAGCACATCACAAAGGGCCTTTCCTTGCTTTTAACTGTCTTCAGAGCCTCCTTTGTAAGAGACCGTTACTTCAAGAGAGTACACGCACGCACCCAAGCAAGAGGCAATAGGATGGATTCTATTGGATTCCTTAGGAACACTGAGGAACTTGCTGAATAACTCATCTCATGAGCAAACAGCTGTAATAAGAGTTGCTCTCTTTTAGATGACCTAAGAAATCCTTAATAACTGTCAGACAGCTTCCAAAAGTACAGAATATGTCATGAATATTTTTAGTGCGTAGTGTCATAATAATAATAATAATGTTGGCAGAGGTATTGATGCCATCAAATCCCTAATGAAATTAACCTCCTCATATATAGGATAACTTTAAGGTTAGGATTGTTGGCCACTTTGTAAAAGCGGAGGTAAAATTTATATACAGCAAATTGAGTAGATCTTAAGTTTAAATTCCGTGCATACCCGTGCACCCCTCACCTCAATCCAGAAACAGAACATGTCCCTCGCCTCAGATAGTTCCTTTGTTCTCCCTGCTCTACCAGCCCGTCCTGCCCTCCACAGGCAGCTGCCGTGCTTGCTTTCTGTCACCTAGATTGCTTTTACCTGTTCCTGAACTGTGTATAAATAGAATCACACAGTACCTACGTACATTTTTGTTTCTGGCACTTTTCACTCAACATGATGTTTTTGAGATTCATTTATATTGTTGTATCAGTGGTGTGTTCTTTTATTGCTGAGTAGAATTTCATTGTAGGAGTATAACACAATTTGTTTATTAATTCTCCTGTTTGATGGACATTTGGGTTGTTTTCTATGAACATTCTTAAAGAAACCTTCTTGTAGACATATGTTTTTATATTTCTTGAGTAAATACGTAAGAGTAGAAATACTGGGTCATAGGTTAGAAATGTTTAATTTTATAAGGAACAGTTTTTCAAAATGATAGTACTGCGTGCACGTTCCAGTTGCTCCATATCCTTGCCTCCATTAGATGTTGTCATTTTAATTTTAGCTATTTTCACAGGTGTGAAATGGTATTTCATTATGATTTTAATTTGCATTTCCATGATGGCTAAGATGTTGAGCACCTTTTCCTGTGCTTATTGGCCATTCTTGTATCTTTTTTTTGTAAAGTATTTTATAGTTTTGCCCATTTTTAATGGGGTTGTTTTTAGTTACTGGTTTGTAAGAGTTCTTTAAATACTCCAGACATAGCTCTTTGTCAGATTGATGTTTTGCAAGTATTTTCTTCCAGTCTGTGGACTGCTTTTACATTTTCTTAATGGTATCTTTAGGTGAACAAACATTTTTTTTTTAAGTCCAATTTATCAATTTAAAATTTTATGGTTGTTGCTTTCTGTGTCTTCTCTAAGAAATCTTTGCCTACCCCAAGGTTGCAAGAGATTTTCATATGTATTCTTCCAGAAGTTTTATGATTTTAGCCATTACGTTTACTGTGATCTCCTTGAATTAATTTTTGTGAGTGCTGTGAGGGAGGGAATGAAATTCAGTTTTCCCCATGTTTACCCAGTGTTCCAGCACCATTTATTAAAAAACTTGACTTTCTCCATTAATTTGCCTGGGTTCCTTGTCCAAAATCAATTGGCCATATATGTGTGGGTCTATTTGTATACTCTTTATTCTGTTCCATTGATCTGTTTTTTTTTTTAATCTTTATGCCAGTACTGTATTGTTTTGATTATGTAACGTTATAAAAAAGCAAGCCTTGAAGTCTGGCAGATTTCAAGATTGGTTTATCTCTTCTAGATTCTTTGTTTTTCTGTATAAATTATTGTATCAGCTTCTTTATTTCCATCACACAAAAAAACACCCCAGAGCCTTTTGAGGTTGTGATTGTGATTGCAAAACTACTGGCCCATATATAGAAATATGACTGAAGTTTTGTGTATTGACCTTGTGTCCTCTGACTTTTAGTTCTAATAGTTGTTTCATAGATTTCTAATGATTTTCTACAAATGAAGGCAATTTGACCATTTTTAATATGTAAATGTATAAGAGATACACACACACACACACACACACTATTGGAAGACAGAGAAACCAAGAAAAACACAAACCAATAATTAAACCAAAAAAATAAATAAATAGCTCAGTGTTTTTTAATTTTGCTTGTTTCAGTGTGGCTGCTACTTTAAATGTTTTCTTAACTGAGATTATTAATTAAAAATTTTTTTTCTTTATTAATTTTGGAGAGAGAGGAAGGGAGAGGGAGCGAGAGAGAGAAACGTCCATGAGAGAGAACATCGATTGGCCGCCCCCTGCATGCCCCTCACTGGGGATCGGACCTACAACCTGGGCATGTGCCCTGACTGGGAATTGAGCCAGCGACCTCTTGGTGCCTGGGTTGATGCTCAAACACTGAGCCACACCAGCCAGGCATTAATTTTTTATGGATACCCATAAGTAACATTTACCCTTGATTGCAGTGATATTCTCTTGGCGCCTTTAGCAATCCACTTAACTTCTCTTGGGCCTCAGTTTCTACATCTGTAAAATGTTAGAATTTGAGCAGATAATTTTCTCTTCCATACTTATATGAGTTCTTCATTTTAGCTTTCAATGTGTCAGAGGCAGGCAGAGAGGTATGCACAGGGTGTTTTTAGAGCATATTGTGTTTCATTGTAAATATGCTGGAAAATTGTGAAACAATCCATTTCGGTTCATCATTAGTTCTGTTTATCCTGGGAGATTTGTCCCCATTTTGTTCCATTTATATCTGTGGTTCAATGTTGAGAGTTTATAGTTAACTCACATAAATTTTTCTACAACTTTTATTTCTAGGCTTCATAGAGCCCAGTGTGCAATTAAACAGACTCAGGTAACTGTTCAGAAAATTGGAAAGGAAATTGAAGAAAAACTAAGACTCACTTCTACAAGCAATGAATTGGTAAGTTTTTATATATTTACTTATTTAAACTCCTTGATTTCTACATATAATTATCATATTCTTCTTGTAGTAATGTTTTTCCCCCAAATAAACTTAAGGAGTTTTTCTCTCTTTCTCTTTTGTCTTAATGTTTCACTGAGACTTCTATTGGCATTTAAATATTGGAAATAAACTTTCACATCTGCTAATAATGTAACATACAAAGGGCCTGCTTTTTTCTATTAGATGAAACTTTAGATTACATGGAATTACTTAGAAGATAATTAAAAGCCATTTTATTAATGTCTTATAAATGTGAACTCTAGACATGAACTGTATAGTGAATGGAAAATAGCTGCCAAAAGAAAAACAAAAAACTTTAGGAACTTACCTACTATTAAAAGATGAATTTAAAATTATTTGGATTGAATTTAATAAGCTGGTTTATAGACAGTGCTCTCTTTTGGGAAAGATTCTTTTAATGAGGCATAGAAATTCCATTCCAAATAGACAGATTTAAGATATTAATATAATTTTTGGTTCTTTGTAGTGGAGAAAAAAAATAATACTTTTGGAATGAAGATTCTGTCTTTGTAAGTTAGTGGTTATAACTAATAAATTAAGCTTTTCTCAAAATGAACCCACATGGCTATGGATAGATTTTGATGAAATTAGTGCTGTGAATTATGATACTTAAAATAACATTTAAATCTTAAATGAGGTCCTAACTAAAAAAATTTAAGTTATTTGTTTGCACACCATCATCTTGGCAGAGGGCCTTATATCATACCCAAACAGAAATTTCATGTTACCTTGAAGTTTTGCCCAAGATAATAATTTAATAGATGAGCTATAGAAGAAACGCAGCAACGCAATTAACCTACACGGACTTCTCTCTCATGGAATTTGAAATTAATGGATAAAAACTTATTTAAACTATATAAAATTACTGATTTTGATCTATTAATGACAGTTTCATTTAGTTTAGCCTAATACATAAAATGTCTAGCGCTGTACCTGGCACATAAGCAGACACACAAAATATGGTAGCTGCAATAACTACAGTAGTACTACTTACTATTTATATGCCTTTTCTTGCCTATGGAAAATCTTTTATTTTGCAGAGGCTGTTAAACTACCTCTTGTTGTAACTTAGGCCCAGTAAAGGACCAGATTCCATACCAGAGATATATTGGTGGAGTAGGAAAAACAGCTAATTTTAATCCTTTCTATATTGTACAAAAATGCCACATTTTTAGAACCTTTGTCTGGGGAGATACTGCTAGGATTTATTTTTCTTATTTTCCTCTCCCAAGGCAAGGCTGGGAAATTACTTATTTCATTAAATAACCGCATATGCTTTGTCTCAGTAAGGAAAAATGTATGTTTAATCCTATTTTTCTAAATATAAGTGATGACATACAGAACAAGGTGATAGAATATATGAGTTTAAAGAGGTCAGGTTCAGAGGTTCACTGTGTGTTTTTATGGTGCCTAATCAACCTAGAAGGAAATAATTGGATTTTTGAACTGAAAGTGAACCTAGAAATCATCTAGTTTCCTTATAACCTCACTTAAAACCACACCCCCTCAGTACATTCTGCCCCTTCCCTGCTTTGTTTTCATAGTATTTATTATCCTTAAACATGCTATATGTCATACATATATATTTTGTTTGTCTGTAAACTATGTGAGGGAGGGAGTTTTGTCTGTTATTTCCCCCTTATTGCTATATTCCCCTGTCAAGAAAAGTGTTTGATACATAGTAGGTGCTCAATAAATATTCATTGAATTTAAGAATGAATCTAGTGTAATCTCCTCTGATAAAAAAAAACAGGAAAAATGAGGCCTGAAGAAAGGAAGCACCTTTCCCATATCATTTGACAAGTAAAGACAAATTTTGGGTTACTTTTCTCCTTTCAGGGAATAATGCCATCTACTTGTTAATGATCTACTTTAAGATTTACCTGTAGCAAATTAGAAACCTTTAGTATTATCTTTTTTCCCCCATTCCCTTTCCAAATTGGCCCAATCTAATCATACTTTATTCCAAGCATTTTTAGAGTATAAGAATTAATTTTAATTTCAGCATAGGTAAAATACAATCAGAAGGCATATATGATGCTGGAAGAAATCAGATTATTTCCAAGATCAAATGTAATTAACTCTGTTATAAGAAATTGGGTTCATACTGATGATTTTTAAAGATTTGGCATCTTCTCACATTACATCAATATACAACATAATTTTTTTGATATTTAATGATGTTTCTTATGAAATTTCTGCTGTTGTCATCTGTTGAGCTATTGTATGTTTTTTTTAATCTTTGATCTTTGAATGTTAATCCAAGTTCATATATCTGGGAAAAGCCCTTCTGGTTAATGATAAATTATTCTTTTTATGTATATTAATAGATTTAATTTGCTTAAATATTTTAAGGAATTTATGCATTTAGTATATTCATGAGGAATATTGCTCTGTAGTTTTGTTTTTGTGTAATCGCTTTGTCTGCTTTTGTTGTTAGGATACTGTTGGCCACATCTAGTAGTTGAGAAAAATTCCCTCTTCCACTTTCTGGAAGAATATGTGTAGAATTGGAATTATTGTTAAATGTTTGGTAGAATTTACCAATGAAGCCATATGGTTTTGGAGTTTACTTCATGGGTTTTAAACTAGGAATTCAGTTCTTTAATATTTGTAGGATTATTGAAGTTATCTACTTCTTGAGTGATCTTTGGTAGTTTATGTCTCTCAAGGATTTGTCTATTTCATTTAAGAGGTCAGTCGTTTTAATTTTAAATGAGTATGTAGTGTTTTCTTAGTTTTGTTTATAATTACATTGCCATGATGAATATTTTTCTTATCTTTATTGGTCACTCACGTCTTTTAAAAAGTGTAGGTTTAAATGTTTTTATTTATTTAATAATAAAAAATATTTTTGCCCATTAAAAAATAAACTCTTTATTTAGATTTACAGAAAATTTGTGAAGAAAGTTTAGAGTTCCCTATACCTCTGGTCCAGTTTCACCTAATGTTAACTTCTTATGTAACCATGTTACACTTAATATGGTATATTCGATATGGTATATCATCACACCAAGAAATTAACATCGACACATTACTCAACTGTGGACTTTTTCCAGGTTTCCCTAGTATTTCCTCTAATGTCTTTTTAAAAAAATAAACAGACTTTTTATTTATTTTTTAATATGTTTTTATTGATTTTTTTTTTTTTAGGGAGAGAGAGATAGAAACATGGATGTGAGAGCCCAGCTGGTGTGGTTCAGTGGTTGAGCGTCGGCCCATGCATGCACCAAGAGGTCACTGGTTCAATTCCTGGTCGGGGCACATGCCCAGGCTGTGGGCCCAATCTCCAGTGGGGGCATGCAGGAGACAGCCAGTTGATGTTCTCTCTCATCGATGTTTCTATCTCCCTCTTCTTCCTTCCCCTTTTCTTTCTTTCTAAGAAAAATCAGTTAAGAAAAATTAAAAAAAAAAAAAAGAAAGAAAGGAAATATCAATGTGAGAGGGAAGCATCGATCAGTTGCCTCCTGCATGCTCCCTACTGGGGATTGAGCCCGAAACCCAGGCGCATGCCCTGACTGGGAATCAAACCAGAACCTACCAGTCCATGGGATGACGCTCAATTCACTTAGCCACACCAGTCAGGCAATAAACTTTTTATTTTACAATGGTTTTAGATTTATAGAATTAGTACAAAGATAGTACAGAGAGTCACCCCATATCTCCCACCCTCACCTACTTTCTCTGTTATTAACATCGTACATGGAACAGTTTTCAAGTAATGAAGCTGTGTCAATAAATGATCATTGACTAAAGTTTATCCTTTATTCATGTTTCCTTAATTTTACCTAGTTCTTTTTTCTTTTCCAGCATCCAATTCAGGAAACCATACTACTAGTCACACTTATCACACTTTTCTTGGTAGTGAAACTTTCTCAGGCTTTCATTGTTTTTGATGACTTTGACAGTTTTGAGGATTACTAGTCAGGTATTTTATAGAATATCCCATGATTGGGATTTATCTGATGTTTTATCATGATTAGACTAGGTTCTAATGTCCTTTTTTTTGTTCCACCGTCCAGTCAAGGATACCACATTGGATTTGGCCATCATTCTTCCTAGCCTTCTCAGATCTAGAACATTTTTATTCTTTCCGATTATTAAATCACCATGCAGGATCACTGTTTCTCACTTGGTTACTGTAGTGTCTTGCATGTTTATCTACTGTGAAGTTTCCTTCACACACTCAGTATTTTGAAAGCAGGATGCTAAGTCCAGCCTGCACTCAAGAGCCGGGAGGGGACTGACACTTCACCTCCTGGATCTATTCAAGTCTTTTTTCTGATATGTGTCGGGAATATTTTCTTCAAGTCTGTGGCTTACCTTTTTGCATTTTTAATGTTTTCGAAAGAGCAAAATTTTTAGCTTTGATGAAATCCAGTATATTTTTTAAAAAATTCTTTGGGCCCTGGCCAGGTGGCTCAGTTGGTTTGGAGCATCATCCTGTACACCAAAAAGATTTCGGGTTTCATCCCCGGTCAAGGCATGTATGGAAGGCAACTGGTCGATGTTTTTCTCTCACATGGATGTTTTTCTCTCTTTCTACCTTACTCTCTCTCTAAAATCAATAAATACATCCTTGGGTGATGATAAAAAATCAATTTATTTTATGGTTAGGGCTCTTTGTGTTCTTTGTAAGAAATCTTTGCCTAACCCAGAGTCACATAAATTTTCTCCTGTGTTTTATTCTAGAAGATTTATAATTTAGGGCTTTCCATTTAGATCTCTGATCCATGTCAAGTTAGTTTTTTTGTATGAGTTAAATACAGTAACTTTTTTTCTGTATTAATATTTAGGTGATGTAGCATCATTTGTTGAACAGTCTTTCCTTCATTTAACTTTGTTGTAATGTTTGTCTAAAATCAGTTGATCATATATGTGCATGTCTATTCTGGATTGTCTGTTTTGTTCCATTGATCTATATGTTTGTCTTTCAT